CACATACACCAACTGAGGAACTATTTATAAAAAGGATAACCATGATTTGAGGTAATAAGTGACCTGCTGGGAGACTTGTAAGCTGCAGTTACCGACGTGGGCCCTAACTGGTTAAATGGAGGGAAACCCCAACCACCTCGATGCTTTGAAGGGCTGGGAAAGATATCACACCGTGTTGAATGTTTTGTCTGACCAAAATAGCTGCGCCTCCGCCTCCCCTATCAAGGCGTCCTAACGGTACGTCCAAAAGTTGCAGAGATTAAATGGAACGCTCGGGAGAAGATGAGTCTCACTGATAACACAGAGAACAATTCCTGCAACTCTTATCCCCTATGTAGAACGCCATCGAAATTCCAGAACAGAAGACGGATATGAAGAAGGGTTTGTGGTCTAAAAACCATTGCAATCTAGACCCTTTACAGTCCCTAACATTGTTAACAGGTTTGGCGCCAATACTGAAAGAGTTGTCGAAGTGTAGGTTGCAGTTGTTGAGGGGGTTGTGGTCTGAGGAATTGTCTTTGTAGCCAAGCGAGCAGCATAGGAAACTGCCGGAGTAACATTAAGAGGGGTCTGTTTTAAAGTGTTGGTAGAGCAGTTTGAGTGGATGGTATAGGCCTACGCGGGTAATGTTTGCAGCCACAACATTTGGCAGTGTGCACTTGACCGCAAGCACAGCTGGCAAGGTTTTCTCGTGCCTTTATGCACCGTGCCGTCAAGTAGCCCTCGCCACATTTAACACATCGGAGGGCTGCAGAGCAAAAACGTGCGCTCTGTCCAAATACCTGACAGCGGTGGCACTTTCCGACTCGATTACCCTTTCAAAGCTCTTCCACCTTGACCTAAAGATATAAAACAGTCTTTAATTCCAACATCTTTTGTCCATCACATCCAGATATATGCGCTAACACCCATCGGTAAAGGTCTCTTCGTGCCTTTCCCATCGACAGGATCCTCAGCGTGCATCCTTGCCATGCGGAGGGGTGGGACGCCTTGCGTGCGTAAATCCCCTTCGACGGTTTGAACGTCAAGATCGCAATAGATTCCACGAAAACCAAACTTTAAAGGCTTGTCTCCTCTGCTAGTTGATAGATGGAATGAGGTAGTACTTTATCACGCACAAGCTTAGTGATGGCTAGATACTCGTCTACTGTTGCTGGAATTATATTTCTCCCTTGACGTTTATCCCTAGACTTCGAAATGCTATTAACGCCATTGGCTAGCAGAAGTTTTATAAAATGATTCTACTTCGGTTTTTCCCAGAAAACGTAAGAGAAATCTTATTAATTCGCCTAAGAGGAGGTGCAGCCGCGGAAGATAACTCGGTGTCGCTGGAGGTATTTCGGGCATTGAGAGAAGTATTCCCCATCTCTAAATTCAACGCTATCTTCTTACTCTCTATCAGAAATAATCTGTGTCTTTGTTACTATCATTGAAAATAGAGTATTTAGATATTACTAATAATTTTACTACTAAGGCTGATACAGTCAATATAGGCAATTTACAAAAGTATTATTACTAAATTTATTAATACCACTATTTCCTTTTTTTTCTGTACTATTATTTTTATTGTTACTATTATTAATGTTGTTGTTATTAATTTTGTTATAATTCTTTAAAAGAACTTTAATCATAAAAGCATTTCCTTCACTCTCCTCAAGGCTTCTTCTTTCCAAAGCTCAATGAGTATTTGGAGAGCAGAGCAAGGATTAACATAAACAATTTTAACAGGGGAATTTTCTATCGGCTCTTTTCGTCGTTTAGTTCCGTTTTTAACAGGAGACGTTTTTTCAAGATCAAGATCCTGTGACTTGAATTTCACAGTTGTCTGCTCTTTACGAAGATCCTAAACAAAAGCTCATAAATACGCAATTGTCCTGCGTAAGTCGGCCTCCAGAAAAGAGGAGCCCATTTTATTTAAAATAATCAACGAACAAACACAAGCAGAAATCCTTGCCTTCAAATCAAAAAGTAAAAATAAGGGACGAGCCACTAGGAAAATATGAATGCTTGCTTAGTATCTAACTTTTAAATAGGGAGAAGTAAGGTTATGATTTTTAACCTCGGCTGACTAGTATTGGTTACTAAGTTAGTTTACCCACATTACCTTATGAACGTGCTTTTGTTAATTCCTATTGCTGTTCTTAAGCTTTAAATGACTAAATTGAACATGCTACATTAGGTTGTTAGAGTCAGTCTCTGTTTCCGCGGCCCTTTAAGAAACTAATAGTACTTATAAGTGCGATTTTTTTACGTACTTCTACAAAAAATCTTTAAAGGCTAAACAGTTGCGGAAGATGGTTTCTAAATAGCAAGTACTCAACAAGGAACAGTAGGTGCAACGACCAGAATAATTACATATAGGAGAATGGGAAGAGGAATTAAGGGGACTCTCCTTCTTGTCCCAATAGTCATCCACCAGGGGCGTTGCAGACTTCAAGATATTGATATCCGTTTTTTAATTATAGCTGACTACAAGCGATGCAAGCAACTCACTTACTAAACTAAAAATTTTTTCATGTCTTTAAATTCTATTGTTTATCAATGATGCAAGATTACAGATTATCGGAACACTAAATATGCAGTTATTGTTAGGCAGAATACTACAATTTTTATAAACTGCCGTTGGGAAGATGTGCTACAGTCACCGATAGAGGCGCCTAAAGATTGCTCAATGTAGCTATCTCTAATAAATTTCTATAAATAGTTTTTTATTGCATGTCAACTATCACTCCCACATAGCCGTTGTTTTAAAAATTCTTAGTACTCGCCGATAACAAGCCCATTTACAAATTATCAACCTTTATGAGTTGTCAATTATAAAAAATAAAAAAGTTAAAAAATTGGTGCGTTTTTATAACGCTGTTTTTTAAGAGGGATGACTATTTAAACCTAAAAGCCAATTAGGGTAAAACAGAAGGTAAAATAGAAGAGTCTCATAAAAACTGTTTTACTTCGTTAGAGATTAACGTTATGCCAGTTATTAATTTTAATTTTTATTCTTCAAGATATATAGTCGCCAGTGGAACTGTTTACAATAGCGCACTCACATTAAAAGCAAATTTATGTGTATGCCTAAAGGTTGCCAGTTGAAAAACCGAGGTCTTCGATTTCCTCATACTTAAGCTTACGTCACAGAAGAGAAAAGTTAACTGCAGGATTCTATGTTTGAGCTTATATTTTAATGACTGTTTATTACTACACAAAACAAGTCATTCAAAATTAGCTTTTAAAGATGAAATAACTAAAAAAAACTCTTTTTATATAGACCCAAAGAAAAATTTTAATGAATGATCGGTTATAAAGGTGAAACCAATATGTTAGAAGAAACTGACTTTATTATTTAAACCTTATAACAAATTACAAATAACCGCGCTAAAATTATACTTAATAATAAGTTTTAGCCTGAGAGCGCTATGAGGTTTTTTTTTTTTTAATAATTATTATTTACAATAATTTACCATTATTTGTAAAACAGTAAACCGACTTTTAAACTAACCGTTGACTTTGTAAACAAAGAGAAGTGGAAGTCCACTCCGCCAAGGACGAGTACTAAACTTACAGAGCTTAAAGATAAAATAAAATTTACGAGCGCAAAAAGTTAGAGGAAAGAATGCAACCAACTCCCTCCCCCTTTTAGTATTAAGTCTCGTAAACCAATCGGCTAATATTGCACGCCAATGACTCAAACGCAATCGGGAGACAAACAGCCCGGCCAAAGCCAAGCGCGACACGCGAACTTAAGGTGACGTGCTCGAAGGTTGAGGGCGGGGAGAAGGCTTTATATACCTTTTAGTTCACTCATGCCGCTTGTTTTTAAGAGTTGTTCAAATGGGAAAATGCGAGCTCATGGCTGGGGTGGTCCTATGCACGGTAACCTGCCTGTTTTCTTAGAACCTACCAGACTTGCCAACTAATAAATTTTCATTTCCTTATATGTATGTATAACATACGTTATAAATACTCTGTCTGAGTACATATATTTTTATTTGCTCAACTATATTGTATATTTTTATAATTTTTTTTTTTTCTATTGCATATCCCCTTTTTACTAATATTTCTTTCTCATACACTTAGATCAATTATAGCTTGACGTTTGTACGAGCACTAATAGAGCTTAAAAAAAGTTTTATTTAACAATATTACCAAAAGGCGAAAAAGCTTAATTTATTTTAAATTTGAACTAATAACCCTTTTTAATCTCAGTAAATGAGTTATACCTGCAGAGAGTATGTTAAAAGTTGTAGAACCCGTTTGATGGCGATTGTAATAAAAACAACTTTAAAAGTCATATTAATATATAGCAATAATATTTACTTACGTTAGTATTAATCATTGTGACGACAATATTAATAATAAACTTTTAAAAAGCGTTCAACCAAACTTTTCAAAAAGCAGCATCTGTGATAAGTATTTTAACACTGGTGACGTCAGTTATAAGGTTGATAATGTTATTTGAAGCACCGCTACTAGTACTAACTATAGTATTTTAACAGTGATTGCAGTAAGGTTATTTTATTGTTAGCTAAGGTAGCACTATTAATGATAACATTAACTAAAATAAATACTTACCCATTAAGAAACAGAACAGGAATAGAAACTTTAACAATATGGTAAAAATAACCTATTTTAAGCGCTAAAAATAGTGCGCAAGGTATTAACCCTTCCTACTAAGTGAGAGAGATTACCGAAGACTTCTTTACTTACTAGATGTAGTTAACGTTAATATACATACTAAGGTGTTTTTTTGTCGAGTTTTTATAAGGGTACTTGTAATTGGCGTTGTATTTGAACTAGGAAATCTAGCACTTCGCCCTCAGAAATAAAAAATGCGAAGTTACATTATCTCAGCGGGTCTTACACCTGATTGAGTAAAAGTGTTTCATGTTTATACTAAACTTTTTCAAAGTCAAAAACAAGGTATTAGAAACTTTCATATTTGTACTCGAAGATTTGTTATATATAGTAGTTTTTAAGAATGTAGCAAAGTTGGAAAAATGGAATATTTTAAATATTTGGTAACTTTATTTGTTTATAAATATGCGCAGGATTGGAAAGTAGTAGGATGACTTTTTCCCAGAACATACTGATCTGCTTATAGTAAACTGAGTTTGGTTACCTTATTCAGTTTTTAAAAGCCCGATAGGACGTCACTCCTCACTGAGAGCTCGAGTACTCGAAGTATTTGACCCTGTCGGGCACCAGAAACTGTTATTTATAAAAAATAAATAATCAAGATAAAGAGCAATTCGGAAAGGCCTGGTGGCAGTGGTGCTGGTCGGAGTTTCTAGGAGACCTGGTTCTTGTACCTTACACCGCCCCAGTGGTTTTTTTGGAGGTTTTCCGACACACTAAACGGAATGGCGGAAGTGCGTGCCAGATATTTCCGCTTCTTGTACTTCGGGACAGTCATGATAGTGCAAGCTCCTTCGGGTTGGCAGCCGTGCCCGCTTGGACCAGATTAAGCAGTGTATAGGATCCCCTTATATATAAAGCCTGGCTGTAGTATGACAGGTAATAAAAAAAATTAAAATGTAAGATTGAGCATAACTTAAAACTCATTATTTCTTTTTACTTTATTTATGTTATAATATTAATTTATATACATATATATTTTATCCATGACAACACACTATTCCCTCGAGGTGGTAAGTAAGTTTATTAGCTATCACCAAAGAACTAACAACATTAGATTCTGTAGCCAAAAAGATTTCCGAACTTGAAAGTGAAGTTAACAACTCCGATTAAATGCTTTCAAAAAGCACAAGGGCCGCTCTTTAGCTATAAAAAATCATATTCTAATAATTTAATAGTGCTCATGCCCGTAGATGGAATCGTAGTTGCTACCATTAATAATAAAAATGATATCACTACTAATAGTAATAAATATAATTAAAATAATAAATGTAATAGTAAATATAGTAACAGTAACGATAGTAACAAGTATATAACTGTTAACAATAGCGGTGAGGGCCAAAGTATAAGGAGTATACTTCCAGAATTGGAAGGCCAAGAGATCAAAGAAGATTTACGACAATAGGGATTGCACCCGTTATCAGTGACTCGAACGTCAAGCTTTAGAGACGAAAAGAAACCTCTTCCTCGTGCATCTACCGAGAACTAAAGTAATAATTTATAGTTACTTCTGTTTATCATTTCATAGTCTCTGTGATAAGCTTGAAGACAGCACGAGGACTAGTCAAAATGCGATCGCGGTCAGTTCTTCAGCCGTAACCCAAATTGGAGCACCTCAGCATGCAAGTGCGTCAAATGTGGCGAGAATCACGATGGTGCACAAAAATACTGGGGGCCTCCCCCAACATGTGCTAACTGTCAGGGCAATCACACTACAAACTATAGGGGTCGTATATATATACGAAAAACGCCTACTTAAGAAAAATGCAACCTCCACCCACTACTACTCCCCCTGAACCAGGAGCATTCCTTAAAAAAACTATTTCTACTCCCTAAACGAAAAAGAGGGCCCGCACTGAAGACAAAGTTTCGAGTAACCAATTAATTTTTAAAAAAACATTTCTCACTATAGCCAAATTGCTTAATGAGCTTCTCAAACCAATATGATTGTTCTGCAAAAGGCATCAAGTACTGCTGATGTATTAGACAATACAGGGTGTTATAACAAATATATTTCTCGTAGTTTAACAGACGATTTTATATGAACTCTCCTCTAGTCACCTACTTTTAGTTTTTGGAATAGTCTCCCCAGAGACGGTCCTCCGCCTTTATGACCTAAAAATTCTCCATTGGAAACTTTTTGAGAATCTTTTAGACGAAAACCTAAAGAGAACCCTTTGAGACCTAATTTTCCAGTGCTTTCCTATGATACAGTAGCTAAATCATTTAATCATACCAAATGGACTCTACCACCGTGAGTCAATCTTATTTAATAACCCATCTGCGGCAAAAGTTGAAGTTCTTCAATATCCAAAAAACAGCAAAAGAGGAAGTTTGCGTCAACTAGGCCCCCTGAAAATAAACTATTACTAAACGACCTTGTCAAGAACGTCATAAATAGTCTACACGCTTCACCACCGAAAATAGAAGGATAAACATTCTAATCTAGGAAATAACAATAGCCCTCGTTCCTATTGGCCATTCATTTAATCGGTAAGCAATCGCCAAACGCAGCAGCTTTCCATTTAAGTCGAAAACCGGGATTGTTTGTGACGACCAATAGAAAGCGGACGTCTTTGCTTGCGGTCTCCTATCTCAATGCCCACCCTTAATAATCCTTTCTGGTAGGACAACTACCCTCACATAACTCTTCTCCTCCTCGAGTAAGCAAGCATCACTAAAGGAACACTGAAGCTTCGAAGAAGTACAATCAACTATTAATACCTTCACAACTAAAAAGTCACCAGGACTGTCATTTAGTTTCTCACTATTTCCGGGTCGATGGAAAGCGGCCACTGTTATTTTCTATCAAAATTAAAAATCCCTTCCTGAAACCCTCGGATATTGCCCAATAAGTCTACTATCCTGTGCTGACAAAGCAGCAGATGCAGTTATACTCAGGCAATTACATAAATATGAAGCGCATAGCCATATCACCCCTTAAAACCATATGAGTTCAGAAAGGGCCATTCAACTACGCAGCACTCTTGAGGTTCACAGAGCACGTGACAAAGGGAATTAACAACAAGTTCACATGTACTGTTCCCTTAAATATTGAAAAGGCATTGATGGAGTTTGGCAAGCAATTCTCATAACTAGCTCATAACTAAAATGACCAACCTAAGGATACACATTTCATCTTTTCTCCTATTTAATCATTTCTCTATCGTAGAAAGTGTTTTACTAAAATGGAAACGTTCTGGCCACATTTTGAGGGACTCAGAGAGGCGTACCACAAGGTTCCTTACTTCCATACCTCGTCTTATCTACCTGGCGGGACAGAACCAAACCAACGAATACTTCAACATTCGTCACAATTCGCTGATGACACAACAATCTTTGCTATTTCTAAGTCATTTTTACTCGCAATAAAACGTGTGCAAGCATACATTAAGGGATTCGAGTTCTAGAGCGCCTTACTATTAAGTCTTCAAAGAGCGCAACCTGATCATTACTTTAAGTAGCATAAACTATCTCGGCGTCATCTTAGACAACAGACTTTCTTGAAGCAACCATTTTGAATATATCACGAATTAAGGCTGAACTAGAGGTCAAACTACTACACCCTCTTATATGCCAGGAAAATCGCCTCATATACAACAAGCCTTAACTTTATCTCACCACTACAAACCAAAGATGATTTACGCACCTGTGGCTGGGTCCAATGCCCCCTCCGTTATTCGGTCACTCTAGCTTATACAAAACTTTATACTGAGAACTATTTTAGGTGGGCCATGGACTGTTCCAAGCTTCATCCTTCTTCGTGACTTAAATATTACTCTGCCACAATTTTTTCAACGTGCAGCCAGAGAATTAAGAAAAGTTTTTTGCTCATTCTAATCCGCTATTTATTCAAGAAGTAACTTACGATCCAAGTTTATACAAGAAATACAGTAGACTTCGACATCAATTTGATTGCTCCTGTTGCTCCAGTGACAGCATAATTAACCTGACTACCCTATCATCCGATGTTACCCAGCAACAAAATTAGATTAAGCGGAATTTGAGGTCTTGAGAAAGAGAGGTCTGAGTGAAGCTTGTCAGAGCTATATACAAATAAATAAAAAAATAAAGCGGAAAAAGGTGTTTTTCCTCATTCCTTGTTTTCTTTATTCGCTTTCTTTTACCGTTTTTCGCTTGCCTTCTTATTTAAGTAGCCTTATGTGGTTGGGGTATAATGTTTTAAACTAAGTAGTATTAGTCAATTATTTATTGTAAGCAAAGTTGGCATTCTGTATCCTGTTACTCTTGCTGTACTTTACGTGATATGCTTATGGGCTTACAACTCACCGGCTTTAGCGTTTTTTCTGCACGCGGAACAAAAAAACCGCTACACATTGGCATATATAGCTTGAAATCGCTGTGCCTCGTTTTTCGAAGAAGATTAAATAGATCATAAATTTTTGTAAGTATGCTAAAATCAAGCTTTAAGAAAAGTTATCCATAGATAAATTAATATGGTTGAAGATGTTAAGGTTTGGATTCCTGTTTACCTTTCAATGAAGTTTTCTTTATACACTATTGGTCATTTAAAATTATTTATTTTATGCTGAGGGTGAGCACCTCACTATAAAGAAGCAGCTCTTATTATTTTTTAACGTTCTATTTAAAAAAAAATTATCTTTAATAAAAGTTATAACGAAAATTAATATTTTATTATTAACTGGGAAAATGCAATCGTGAGTTGCAGAGCATAAATAAGTTAAAAGTTTCAATGTATATATTTAAAAGTGAAAAGGTTATTAAAAAGAGCTATATGTAGTTCTTTAGAGAGAAAGCATGTATATGTTATTATAATTATTATTAACTATTAATATTCTTTGGAGTTATGTTGTTGGTTTATTGAAGGATCATATAGTGTCCTATCCATGTTTTAACCCCCCCCCCCCCTTATAGGTTACTGGTTACTATATTACCTCTTGTCTCCTAGGTTCAATTTGCAAGATTGGGTCCAAGGAAATTGACCCTAACTGCCAAGACTCAGTCTCTGAAAGCATCTCTGGTAAGTTTGAGTACCATTTTCCAACGGGATTAGACAGCAACGAACAAAACATAAAGAAGTGGTAAATTTAGTTACCAGTAAACGTAAAACAAGGCTATTTTAAGTAGCAGAGTTTTGCCCGTTACAGGGTTAACGAAATTTGAAATAAATGTTTTTCCTCCAAAAACCTATTAGTTTTAAACTCCGTTCACAAATTTCGTAAACAAATATATTTCATCCAAATAGTTTCTATTATAAAGATCATTATATAGCCTTAATATTGCTCACAAGAGTGCCAAGTTCTTCATCACTATTCTGTATTTATGGAAGGTTTATGCGATCATCATGGTTGCGAGGGTGAAAATTTCACGCCACAAGGAATAACCAGGTCGGTCTAAAGTTATCTTTAGAAATTCAGTATACATAAACTCCTATTAATGTTTTAAATAAATGCTTTTTGCTTTATATTTTCATTATGCGTTGTTTTCTTAATCTTAATGTTAGCTTTTCCAAAAAGCTTATAACGTTAACACCACCTAATTTAAGTTGGTTCAAGCGAGTTTTTAATAATTCAAAGAAAACGATAAAATACTACTCTTTTTATAGTTCTCCTTCTATAAAAAATTTTAAATTATATCTTTTAAAAAAGGTATTATGTAATTATAATTTTTTTTTTACTTTCACAAATTATAGATTTTAAATTTTAGCGAAGGACACTTGTAAGTTCGCGGGATTACAGTTTCAGCTCACAAAATTTAGTATAGTTTTACAATTATAGTCAAAATTAGGAGTTTAGGAATTTATTTTTAGGAAGTTCCTGTTTCTATTCAAGAAGTTAACTCAGCTAGAAAGCTTGCAAAAGATTTGAATACCCCTTTTGGTATTTTACTAAGAAGGATATTTATAATTTAAATTAAACTTTCTTTAAATTATTTTTTAAAAATTAATTTTTTTTGAAAATTCCTTATATTTTAATAATCCTTTAAAATTATAATTTATTATTTTTCCTTATAAATTATTTTCTTAGTATTTTTTTAAAATTTTTTAAATATTATCATAATTTAATTAACTTTCTATATTAAATTTATAATAGTTAACTTATTAACAAAAAAAAATTATGTTTAAACATTTGTTATAATTATAATTTTTACATTTTTTTAAAATTACTTTTTAAGTTTATTTTAAATTTTTGATTTTATTTCATTTTAAAAAAATATTTAATGTTTTATAATAGTTAACTTTTCTAATTTTTTTTAACATTGTAGTTTTTACTTTTTTATTATATTTAACTTTTTTAGTTTTTTTTTTACTTTTAAATTTTAATTTTTTAATTTTCAAGATTATCTACAAGAATTAGTAGAAGAACTCTCTGGTCGTCCCTTAAAAGATGATATCATTACTGGTTGTTTACTTTTATTACTAATTTTTAAATTTACTTGCACCAACTCTTCTATTGCTCAGGAGATCTCGCAAAAGATATCGTTCTTTCTTTAGATCGAAAAGTTGATCTGAAATTCACAGAAAAGATGTACTTTTATAAATACAAAATATTTTTTAACGAATATTTTAGTTTATTGGATTTTATATTAATATTACTTTTTGCCTCTTTTGGAGTTCTTTCTAAAAAAAAAATTTCTATTTTATTTATGATAATCTTTTGCAAAAGTCAACGACCGGAAAAAGTTTTGCTGTCCCCACGAGCCTCTGTTGTGGCTATTATGGGCCACGTGGACCATGGTAAACTAAGTTTTAAAGAATAATCTAATTATAATATTTAATAAATTAATAAAACCTGGAAATTAAAATTACTGATATATAAAAAAGCTATTTTAGTTATTATTTACTTATCATTATTATTTATATTTTTCCATTAATTATATATTAACTTTATATATTCCTTGTATTATAGTATAATGAATTTTAATTTATTAATAAAATTCGGAAGATAATATAATCTATATATAAAAAAGTGATTTCAGATATTTATTTTTTTCATTTCACTTTTTTTCTTTATCATTATTTATATTTATATTTTATTTTTTTTTTGTTACTTTTAATTCTCTTTACAAATTATTAAATACGGAAATAATATAACTTTTATATAAAAAGGTAAGTAATTTCAGTAATAAATTTTTTTTTTATTTCATTTCTTATTTATTACTACCAATATTATATGTGTTATTATATTTTTTACTTTATATGACAGCATTATAAACTTATAAATTATTAGTAAAATACAGAAAATTATATAAAAAAAGTAATTTCAGTTTATTATTTTTTATAATTATTATTTATGTTGATATTTTATTATGTTTTTTTACTAGAAATTTGCTTTATATTACATCGTTATAAAATTATTAATAAAGCAGAATTAATACAACTGATCTACTAAAAAATTATTTTAGTTTTTTTTATTATATTCTACTTAAAATTTGGTTTTATTGTAAAATTTATATTGTTGAAATTATAAAATTTGCGTTTTACTTAATATTATTGTTATCAAAATAAGTCTTGTTTAAAGTTATTTCGTAAACTTCATCAATTTTATTATAAACTTTTTTAAAAAAATTATGGAAATATAATTTTTATATGGGACGCTTTTACTTTGCTGGCACCATTTGACCTTTTTTTGGTGCTTGGAGACTTCCTTTTTAACGAACTATATTAATGATAAATTTTTGTGTTTACTTGTGTCAGTTTGTTGTTTTTTGTCTTTATAAAGGCCTGTTCAATTTTTGGGTAACATTTATAGTTATTGGAAGCTTTAAGTTAGCTACCATGTGTTGGCTATAATTGTTAAATTGGAAGCTTTACCTTTTTTCGGGTAAATTTAGCAATATTTGCTCCCAAAGTCCTAATTTTTTTAAGAAGCAAATTTAATTGGTTCGAGATGTCGTTTTGTTCCTTTTTTTATTGGCTTTCATTGTTAAAAAGATCTATATAATTTTTTTGGTGTTTTTAAATTTTATTGATCCCTACACCGAATTATAGAACCAAATAAAATATCTATTTGTGGATTTAATAATTTTGCTACGGGCTTTAGTTTACTACAATTTTCGATAAGTTTTATATATTATTAAAACCACAATTATTTATAATAGTAATAATAAAATTATTTTATTTTTTATTATTTTTAAAATAATTTTTATTGTTTTTGTTAAAAAATTATATTTATTTTATTATAAAAGACTTTTTATTTATTTATTTTATTAGGCAAAACGACACTTTTGGACACTTTACGTTCCTCTACTGTCGCCGCTCGTGAAGCTGGCGGCATTACCCAACATATTGGGGCTTTTCAAGGTGTATTTTTGTGACCAATAAAGATCAATATTTTTATCTTAGAACCAATAAAATAATTGTTTACATTTTATTTGGTTATCAAACATATATAAATATTTTTTTGTTATTCTAAGTGAAGCTTGCCGAAAAAAAAGTTATCACTTTTATTGATACGCCTGGCCATGCAGCGTTTTCTGGTATTTTTTTATAAACAGTTTAGAGTAAAATAATAAAATAAAATAAAAATAAATATTTAAGAATTATTATAAAAATAATAAAAAAGCAAAAAAAAAAAGTAAAATATACATAAAAAAAATAATCATTAAATAATTTTTAAATAATAAATATTTATAGAAATGAGACGGCGTGGTGCTGAAGTTACGGATATTATTGTCCTTATAGTGGCCGCTAATGACGGCGTGAAGCCTCAAACATTAGAAGTCGTGCAACACGCCAATAGTAATAAAGGTGGCGCTATTGTTTATTTTTATTACTTTTTATTATATATATTTTTATATATAAAAATGTAAAAGTTTTGATATTTTTTACTTATTATTATTTATTATATATATTTCTATGATAATATAATGTTTATATTTTTTGTGTTTCATTACTATTTATTATATATATTTATATAAAAAATAAAAGTTTATAATACTAGTTTATAATACTATTTATTATATTTATTGTATATAAAAATAATAAAAATGATATTTTTATTTTTTATTACTATTCATTATATATATTTTTATATGAAAAATATGGATAATTTCTTATTTTTCATTACTATTTATTATATAAATTTATAGGAAAAATAAGTTATATACAATACTATTTACTATATATATAATATATAAAAGTAATAAAAGTTTTGGTATTTTTATTTTTTTATTACCATTTATTATATTATATGTAATAATACAAAAGTTTTGAAATTTTTTTGTTTTTTATTACTTTCTATTATGTATATTTATATATGAAAATAATAAAAGTTTTAATATTTTTTATATTTTTAATACAATTTATTATATATTCTTTTTATATAAAATAATAAAACTTTTAATATTTTTAATTATTAATATTTATTACATACTGTTATATTTACTGTTTATTATATGTTATTTCAAATTTATTTATACATAAAAATAATAAAATTAATATTTTTATAATTCTTTATTATTTATAATTATTTATATATTAAGAAAATGTTAATATTAATTTTTTTTATAAATTATTAGAATTATTTTTTTTATAGTTAAAAATAATTAACGTCAGAAAATTTTATATCTTCAATACTATTTATAACATTAACATTAAAAATAAAAAAAATGTTGCTAATTTTTATTTTTTATTTCTTTTGTTATCTATTATTTATGAATATTATTTATTTTTATAATATATTTATAGTATTAAGGATTTTGTTATGTATTTTCTTGTATTATTAACTTTTATTTATGTATATTTTAATTATTTATATACTAAATTATATTATTTTTACTTTTGTTTATTTTTATGTATAATATAATTTGTATTGTATAGGTTTATTGTTTGTTGTTTATATTTTAATATTTTTTTTATATTTACATATTCAAGAAAAAATATGTATTATTATAACTATACTTATGCTTTTTTATACTATTTATATAATTTTTCTAAACAATGCTTATTTAATATTTATTTTTTATAATAAAAAAGTAAAAAATCTTAAAAATAAAGTAAAATATAATCATAAGTTAAAAAAATAAACTTTTATAAAAACAATAAACCCTTTTTTATTGAAGAAAATGTATGTTATTTTATTGGTGTATTTTTTATTATATTCATATTGTATGATGATTTTATATTTTTTTTATTATAATTTTTTATATTATATATTATTTTTCCTTATTAAAAAGTTTTGTTGTATATTTATAGAATATTATTATAGTTTTATATATATTTATATAAATTTTATTTTTATTTATTGAATATTCAATATTTATTTGTATAACTCTATAACTTTTAGTATAAGTATTCTAAATTTTACTTTATTTATTTTTTATAAATTTTTTATGTCGGAAAAAACATAATATTAATAATACTAATAATAATAAGAAAAGAAACTTTTACAGAATATAAATAGTTTTTAATACTTTTCTAATATTTTTTTTTTGTTTTATTTATTAAATTCAAATATTATAATGATATTATATTTTTTATTATAATTTTTTACATATTAATAGAATTTCTTTTATATAAAATTATTACTATTTTTTTAATATATAACTGATTTGATTTTTTTAAAATTATTATATATTTTATTTATTAAATATTTTTTTTAACTTTCTATTAATTTTTATATTTTTACTATTATTTTTATAAGTTTTCTTTATTTCGAATTTTTTTTGTATTTTATTTATTTAAAAAAATATAAAATTTAATAAAATAAAAATAGAAATTAGAAATTATTATAGAATATATATTTTAAATACTATTATTATTTTTACTGTATTATTTATTATATTCTTATTTTATAATGACTTTATATTTTTATAAATATAAAGTTTTTTAAATTATTTGTACTCACTAAAATTGTAGACCATCGCTATATTTATTCTCTACATTACTGAGATTTTTTTTTGTTTTTTTATTTTTTATTTATTAAATATTCATTATTAATTTTATAATTTTTTAATATTTAATATTTTTTACTATAATTTTGTAAACTTTTTTATTTAATTTTTATTATATTTTATTTATTAAAAAAATTTTAAAATAATAATAATAATAGAAACAAATTTTTATAGTATAAGAAAAACTTTTTTAATTTTTTATAGTTTAACTTTATAATTATTTTATGACGAATTTATTAATTATTAATATATTATATATCATTTTTACTTATTAAAAAAGTTTTATATAATACATATTTATAGAAATATATATTACGGCTATTTATTTATATATTTATATTATCTATTCACATTTTTATACGAAATTTTATTTCTTATTTGTAATTTGTTCATGAATTAAATTATACTTTTATAATTTTCTAATATTTGAAAAATAATTATTAATTTTTTATATTTTTTATAATTTATTTGTATTTATTAATTTGTACTTTTATACTTTAACTATTTATAATATAATTTTTAATATTTTTTAATATCCCATAAATCTTTATTTAATTATTTCTATTTCTATTTTTTTTATATTTTTTATATGTCTGCTTTATATTACTTTATATTTTTATACCTTT